CTTTCCATGTCTTGCAGTATGATGATTGTTACCATACAAACTTCTGTTGTCATTAGTCTTACTGTAGCATCTTGCAGGCAATGCCCTTATATCATTGAAGCTATTATAGCTTTGGCTGAATTGGGTCTTCCAGCAAAAGATATTATTTCATTGTTTCCTCAGGTTTGTTCTAATATAGTATCGCGCTCTGTTATCTGAGGCTCCATCCCAAATTACAAATGTAGAAATATGTTCGTTTTTCTAGAGCATGTAATTGAATTTTCTCTTGACCATTCCAATGACAGTCTATACCTGTCCGACAATGTGTGTACTGTATCTGGGCCAAAATGTGTCAACTATTTGCACGAACATTTGGAACTGACTTTGTGCAAATCTGAATTTACTGTCTTTTTTTCATGAAGTGCTAATTTTAGCATTTGTTGTGTGTACTTGTTTTTAATCTGAAAATGCATTGCTAATGTGTTTGAGGAGTGGTTAATATCTAAATTTCTTTTTAAGGCCATGCCATGGAAACTTGCTTCTCATATGATGCCTTTAAACAAAGGAATGCCGGATTCATACCTACTTGCCTTGGTGTATTACCAGTTATTTTCGACCTTCCAATGTGACTTGGATCCCTGCCATTTGATGATCTGCACTTCATAAACCACTAGTAATTTGGGATGTAGATGTCCAGATTTTTATTGCAATTTGCTGGTTACTCAGTAAACATATGACAGATGGATATGTGTTCTGAAACTGTAATGGATATGTGTTCTGAAACTGTATTTAAATTTTGGAATTAGCTTCTACGTAAATGCAGAAATGCGCAATAGAGCTTGTTTCTGCTTCATCTCCTTCCTAAATTTTCAGGCCTTGTGTTCCTATACCTTGCTTTGTATAAATCATTTCTCAAGTTCTGAGATGATGATACTCATTTTCAGTTAGTTGGAAATGAGGGCAAATCTTGTTTTTAGTAGATAACATCATAATGAATAACTAGTCACACCATTTCTACATGCCATCTTTTTGAACTCATTTGTTGCGTGCCCCATTGTTATTTCCTAGTTGATGGTGCTATTAGTTCTAATTCTTACTGAATAACCATATCCAAATTTAGTTGAACCTGCATTATTTTAACATCAAATTCCAATATTCTTCCTGTCATCTTATAATTTCCTATTTATATACATAGACGCCAAGTAGAAGTGCAAGAGCTCCTTTTGATCATCTTGAGTCAAGTCGGTGGTTGCAGCGTTATGTTGAAGCCCAATGTTGCATTGCCTCAAATGATTATAAAGGTTGATCGCTTTTTATTGCTTAATGTTGGGACATGCTTTTCCCTTCTTGACATCTTGAAGACTAGTTGTCAATGTCACAAACCAAATAAATTATTCGTTGATAAAAATTAAGTGATGGGGGCTAATTATAGGAGTTTATGCGGATAAATGCATCTCTTTGCTGGGAGAGGGGAGTCTTTCTACTGGTATTGGTTTTTTAGATGCTTGGTGACTCTTTAGCCCATTAATTGTGGTGCAACTTTGGTTTTTCCAGAGTAGCTTCTTGTAGAGGTAATGGACATTCTGCGATATTAGTTTATAGGTTGTTAAATTTAGCATCAACTTTGATCATTTAAAAACTATGTTTAAGGGGTGTTCAATGCGTGTAAGTGAATGTGTTTGTTGGAAAGCTTTAGTCATTGGGCATAACCGTATGTTGTCATAAATTAGAAGCGCATGCTTATGCTTAGTCCATCCATTATTACACCCTGGTTTGATGAGACTAAAAGCCTCATGATCTCAATGTGAATGCTCTACTTTTGTACATCCTGGTTAATACCTTGAACTTACTTTTCAGGTGGTTTAGAGCTCTTTTCAGAACTCCTGCAACGATTTCCAAACAACATACACATATTGCTGGAAATGGCTAAGGTAATCAACAATTTAGACATTAGAATTACATAAAGAATAATTCGCATCTTCATTTAGAGAGTGATGTCAAGCAAAACCACTCATTTACTTGTATGAAATAGTTGAGATTTCCAAATGTGTGTGTTTTGCTCATAGACAAATGCTTTTTTGAGAAGGTAGAAGCCATTATTGGGAAAATTGATGAAGCCATTATGAACTTTGAGAAGGTAAGTAAAGATGCCACTGGTGCTAATATAATTAGGTCATTTTTGAGAACACAATTTTCAAGTTACATGATTTTTACAGGTCCGATCCATCGATCCATATGTTGTTGCATATATGGATGAGTATGCCTTGCTTTTAAAGACTAAGTCTGATCAATCGAAGTTAAACAAGTTGGTGCATGATCTGTTGAATATTGATCCCACAAGGCCTGAAGTTTTTGTTGCGTTGTCTGTCTTATGGGAAAGGAAGGATGATAGAGGAGCTCTCTCTTATGCTGAAAAGGTCAAGTTTCTTTCATTTTTCTCCACCCAATAATTCCTTTATACTTTTCCATATAGTGCATGCTGAATCAGTCCCATTTTATGCAACCAGAGCATTCGAATTGATGAGAGGCATGTACCAGGTTATATAGTGAAGGTAGTGATGCAGCTTCCTTACATTGAAACTTTTATTAAAGAACCAGCACTTTTAAAAGCTTTGATGCGTTCTCATCCTCAGTAACTCTTTTGCCATCAAGTTTATTGGTGAATGGATATGAACTGATCATATTGTCCCTAATATTTAGGGAAACTTATTGTTGTCAATGAATCGGCCAGATGCAGCTGCTATTGCCTTCAGGGGAGCTCAGGATTTAAGAGCTGATCTTCGTTCCTATCAAGGTCTCTTAATCATGTTGTGAGTTGTCGATTAGCATGCACTTTATATTTACTGATAGCCATGCTTTTGATTTTGACATTAGATGAGAAACATGCCTGTGCAGTATCCAATTTGAAATTCAATTTCAGGATTAGTTCGTTCATATTTGGCACTTTCGAAGATTAAAGAGGCTTTGCATGCTGCAAGGGAAGCAATGAAAGCCATGCCCCAATCCGCAAAAGCCCTAAAGTTAGTTGGTGATGTGCATGCTAGTAGTACTACTGGAAGAGAAAAAGTGAGCTTCTTCAACATTTGCTGCTTTTCATTGCAAGATTGGCAATAATTGGCTTACACGTTCTCTTTTCTCCTTTTTGACAGGCAAAGAAGTTCTATGAATCAGCTCTCAGGCTGGAACCGGGTTACCTTGGAGCTGCCTTGGCTTTGGCTGAGCTGCATGTCATGGAAGGCCGAAATGGAGATGCTGTATCTCTCCTCGAGCGATATCTTAAAGATTGGGCGGATGACTCTTTGCATGTTAAGCTGGCTCAAGTGTTTGCAGCCACAAACATGCTGCAAGATGCTCTGTTGCATTATCAAGCAGCATTGAGGTTAGCTTTCAGTTTAAATTTTGTTTCTCTATCTAGGTGGGGACAAGCGAACATAGTTTTATGCATTGTGATGGAGAAAGGAAAAACTCAGTCTTAATAATGGAAGTTTTTTATTTGTGTGGTAGGATCAATCCTCAAAATGAAGCTGCAAAGAAAGGATTGGAGCGTTTGGAGAAACAAATGAAGGTTCGTTTTCATTCTCCTGTTCTGTCGATTAACCTGACCTCTTCATATCTGTGCATATGCATGACAAGCTTGATAGCTGCCAAATTCCAGCAGTATTTCTCTGAAACTCAGGTGTTTCCACTCCAAATCCTTTGTGCCTATTCTAATGATGATAGAACAGAAATGTATGGATTAAGGATTATTTTGACCCAAAATCCGCGGCTAGATTATGCATCTTTCTTTATGGTGGCTATTCTGCAATGTCCACCTTTTCATAGAGCAAGTTATAAGTTGTTTGGCAAGATTACCACTTCAGAGCAAATTAGAGATAATGAGCTATTTTCTGTATCTTTTGTCTACTTGACTGCCATTATATGCAGGGAGTGGATCCTGATGCCCCTGAAGAAGATGAGGAAAATGATGTAGAGGATGTTGATGGGGATGTGGAGGAGACTGAGCTTCTATGATGGGTGTCTAAAGGTTGTCCAGTTTGTCTAACCTTGGTGGGCATCTTATGACGAGCATGATTGTGGCCTATGTGCATGCAGTGACGTTGCTTAATGGAATTTATGGTGGTAAAGAGTGAAGAAGCAGAAATCTTGTCTAGCAACACAGGTTGCCTGCCTCGGAGTAGCTTCTATATTATTCAACAAGCGCGATGCTGCAATTGTAACAGATTTTAGGGTATATCTATATAATACTGAAGTTATCTTACATTTCAATCGGAACGGCAATGGGCCAAGCACCCATGGAATTTGCTTACCGGATGTACAGGTTTGCCACCGGATGTAGAGGTTTGCTTACCAAGCCTGATAGCCATCACCATTTTAGGCAAAACTTGTATAGGTGCTGCAGCTACAATTCATGAAGGGAAAGAGAACTGAATTGATGTCGCATTATTCTCTAGATGGTTTTTGGGGATGTTTTGACAGAATGACTGTGACCGAATATTTTAATGCATTCTTGGTTTTTCAAAGGTTAAACAATTTCTGTCATCTTAATACTGTCGAGTCATTTCTGCTGCTTATCTGTGTTTAGCCAGATTTTTGCAGTTCCAAGAATCCATTGCTCCGATGCTCAGTTGAGGAGACATTTTGTAGAAGACCTAACTATTTGCATCATCTCCTTTAGTGATGGCCGAGCCCTTTCTACACGTTTAATCATTTCATTATTTAAGGAATCATTTGGGTTTATGAATCACTAACATGTGTGGAAAGCATTTGGGTTTATGAATGCAAGTCTCAATGAGGCTCGAGAACAATAGGTTCACATAGCAAATGTGACAATATGAGAACGATTAATAGACTAAATACTAGGTAGAGACAGCGTTTTTCTCATTCACCTTTTTGTTTTTTTCTTCTCGCTTCATTCTTCAGTGAAGTTCAAGGAGAGACTTAAAAGAGTAAATCCAGGTATTTGCAAGCTACAATCAAACGTAACCTGCTGCAATCTATCTATGATATGTGGTGTGATAACATTTGATTCTGCAAAAGGCAGCTTCGGTAGCTTTTTGCAGCTAGTACTACTTACTGAACATTTATGCTAGTTAATCGGCTCGAGTTGCGAGTTTGGTTTATCCTGATTATCATTACAATCCTTTTGCCCACAGTTACCATACAGCAGATAGCCACGAATAGGTAAGAACAGCGATTGTGTTTCGGTAGGCAAGGTAATTACATACTGGAAAGTTGATAAACTATGTACACCAACAATACTACACCAAATGTACATATAATAGACCGAGCCCCTATGTACTAAACATGAAAAGGTTTTCTGGGAGTTGGTGCTCGATTCTCCAGTGACTGCAATCTCTGTTTTAAGTGAAAAACTTCTACCTGCAAGAAAAATATACAGAGACAAAATAGACAACCAGAGCCTAAGTGAACATCGAAGCACTGTCACTAGAGTGAAAATGTAAACTGAAGCTCATGAAAATTACTAAGACACCCAAAGTGTTCAAGCGTTCCATCCCTATTCAGTTTTTATGGTTGGGAAACTCAAACAGTAATTAACAATTCGGAAGGTAACTTCAATGAAGGTGGAGTAAATTCAACCATGGGCTGTACCTGTAACTGGAATGCTCTTGCTCTTTCTCCAGCAAGGACACCTCTAGTTGAATGTAGTTCCTGTCAGATACATGGAAAAGGATGTCACATTCTAAAAGGAGAAGTCCCGACTTGGATGATTAGAATGTACAATAGCATTTGTGCCAAATCATACTACTTGTCACTGCCCACAAACAACAGTTCAGGTGCTATGCCCCCCCCCCCCCCCCCCAAAAAAACAAAAAAAACCCACACCAACAAAATAATAATAAATAAATAAATAAACCACTTACCTTTTGGGTATCATCCAAGACTGCCTTAAGGAAAGCCACATCATGCTCAAGCCTGACATTGTCTGAATGGACGATATTGGATAGGCTATTGGCCTCTTCCTGTGCCAATTCCACACCAGCTAACTTCTCTTTAAGCAACTCCATCTCCTTCATGGCATCGGCTAATTTTTTTTCCATTTCCTGTCTACTTTTTACAGCAGTGGATAAGTTCTTCTCTGCTGATTCACGACTGGAGATTGCAGCAGCCAACTGCCCTTCTAGAATTCCATTCTTTCTTATAAGGGCACCCAATTTTAATTCATACGATTGATGGAATTGATGGACATTGGAAGGCACTGATACCCCTGCTTTGCCATCACTTTCTTGAAACAGAAGGTCATCGCTATCAAGTGAAAAGCTTCCACTTCCTTGTCTCCTGTGAGTTTCCAGGTTTCCAGATTCCGATGCAGATGATATTTCTTTAGCATTATAATTATCTACATTTGTGTATGCCTGAGATCCAGTATCATGAATTCTAGGTTTCTGCTCGACACCCTGAAATCAACAGCATATGTGATTTTAGAAGAAAATCCAGGATACATAAATATATCCTTCTGTTGAGCATTGTGTAACAAGTTTCTTAATTCAACGGAAAATTGAAGTCAACTCTAATAAGAAAAGGACAAACATAATATAAAGAAAAGCAGCAAAGAATACATGTGGGTTTGAAAATTGGGATGTATCCACACTTGCATATGAGGGGTTAAACAACCACTGAGTATCTAATTTCAGGACAGATCAAAAGCTCGGCTGATAAAATAAGAAGCCATACAAATGGGAGATATATGCCCACAGGTTATGCTGTCAATAACAAAAGTCTTTCATGAAAGACAAAAATAGAAAACAGAGTAACAGATGGAGACACTTGTAGAAAACCTTTGAAAAATTTCCATCTTCTGAAATCTTTGGCACATTGTTAGTGGGGTCTTCCTTGTCATGGAATTGCTTACGAAGCGACACATTGCCAGCACTAGAATTTGGATCAATGAGTAAGGACTCTGACAACGATCTTCGACCAGAACCATGCTCAACTGCAGATGCAATATTTTGTCGTGCAACAGATTCCACAGTCCCATTAAGAACAGTGTTACTTGGTTGGGCAGCCAAGCCAGTAGACTTTAACAGGTTCTCAGATATCATGGTTCCTGCACCCTTACTTAAAGTTGATCTCCTACCAAGTGATGATTCACTCTTTTCCATAATCAGCACTTCAACCTGTTAATGTATCATTTAAAAACCAATTATGACTGTTTTCATTACCAATATATCATCCAAAACTAAAACTCCAAGGCTTTTCCTCACCTGATCTGATGCATCCTTCTTGGAACCACCAAATGCAACAAGAAAGTCTCTTTCCTTGTGCTGCACAAGCACGAGGCTGAATCCCTGTATTTGATTAGGTAATTAATGTTATATATTATCACTTCCCTCTCCTAAGGAACCATATGGACTCCCCATAGACCTGAATATTACTATACCTTTTGTCATTATTATGCTTAATAATCATAAAGATCAAGTTAGACTTTAGGATATTTGATTAGATAATTGTGATTTGACTAGATTGAGAAGTTAACATTTTTCATACACTCTGTGGATCTCAAAAGGTGATTCATAAGCTCAGCAACCAAATCACGAACTATTCCGATGTAATGTCCAACACAATCAAATATAATCTTTAGAGCATAAGTCAAAAACACTAAAGCTAAAAATCCCAGAGATATTATTTTGACAAGAAATCTGACCTTATTTGTAGTAATAGAAGATGGAGGAGATGCAACTGCCACAGACCATTCAAGCTTTAGAATGTCAAGTATCACAGTTTCTGCATGCCCTAAAAATGATAAAAGGCAAGGGGAACGAGACTTTAGGAATATTAAGATTTTGTAGCCCACCAAGTAAATCACCTTAGACATGATTCAAGACCATTCATATCCATAATCAACAACTGAAAATCTCAAATTTAGAAGTATTTTGTTTACTCCGGAAACTTAACTTTCAGAGTTGGTGAATCCCAAGAGATGAAAAACAGATGAACATAAACCAAAGCTTTTCAGTAAGCTCATAAAGTTCTCCTTGTTAAGATTCAAAGTTCTATTCATGGCATGATTTAGATAATGTCAAATCATTGGAAATTATTGGACACAATAGACAAATAAATGTCTTTAAAATAACAGGTAAACCATGATTTATCTGAGACATTTCCTTCTGTAAATAATGAACAGAATTCTTGACAAAGGAGTAGCATCAGTCTGAAGAACTGGAGGGACCTCTATGTCTAAGTGAGGAGCCAGAGCATGAAAATGAGAGGGATGAAGCCTCCCCTAGTATGTTTGAATCTCCCCAGACACCTCAAGCCACACATACCATACACATACACAGGCTCGGGGAAGGATCATGAGGTCAGACAGAGTAAAAATTACTGTTCAAGAATGAAAAGCCTGACATAGAAACTAGAAAGATACAGATGTTAGGTCCTTCAAACATTTTTATACGTCACACAAATAGTGACACAAACTTGCAGTAAGTTGCTAACATACTTTTCTTCTTGCTTCCACCACCAGCAATGTACCATTTACTTCCACAAAGTACTCCGCAACAGCCAGCTCTAGGTGATGGGTGAAAACCTCTTATCTTGATTCTCATCCATATCATCTGAGGATAGAGTCCCAATAACTTGTATTAGAATAAAGTAGCATCAGGCCATTTGCACATTTTTTTGAGGACATGCTCTACTCAGATTGAATTTAGTAGGGAAAATCATTGGAAAGACAAACCGTCTCAAAGTCCAGAGAGTACAGGTCATTTAATGTCTTAGATTTTGATGCTCCACCAAAAACCAGAAGCAATCTGTCATCATAGAGGGTGGCCACATGGTTTGATCTAGGTGATGGTCCTGGTCCTCTGAATGCATACAGAAGCAATATGCATTCTAAGCATCTTTTTTTTTTAATGAAAAAAATGATAAAAACATAAAAAGAAACAAAATGACAATAGGTAGGCTACTCACGTGCAATGAAGTGGGAGCCAATGAAAAGATTTCAAATCAAACATGTGGAGATCATTTAACTTCCTCCTTTTAGCGTCTTCACCACCAAACAAAATCAGAACAGAGCTTGCTCTGACCACAGTATGACCACTTCGAGCAACCTGTTAATCATGTAACACAAGTCAGTATTCCTCATCTGGGTGCTTCATTAGAAAATGGGCACAGTAATGACATGCAGCTATAACAAGCAAACATAAACCTGCAACCTACCCCAAAAAATATATATATATCTAGCTGCATATTTGGCTAATGACAACATCCATAAAATTGCCAGACCAGAAGAGATGCATAGCCCAGCTGGAATTTGTATGCAGAAGAAAAATAACAGAATGAAAATATGCCCAAATTTGTCAATAAGATGGAGATATTACCGGAATATCTCCCTTTGCCTCAACTGGTGCCCAGCACTCTGTTTCTGTGTCAAATGCCCAAACTACAAAAGCCAAAATTCATAAATTTGCATTAGGTCAGATAAGGAAGGTAAAGCCAAAGATATAGAGCAACTACTGATAAGTAGAACACAAACCTGAAACTTTGTCACTAGCAGGGTCAGTTCTGCCTCCGACTAGAAGTATCTTTTTTCCCCAAGAAACCTAGGGATTAGGGTGAAAAAAGAAAAAATTTACGCTGACCTTGAATCATTAGAGTTCTGAAGCACATACAAAGTATTACAAGTACAACTAGTTCTTCCTTGGATGAAAATTTCATCAAGACATAAGAAAATTAATATCGTGGAACAACAACATGACAAAGCACGTGAATTTTTAACCAAAAAGAATTATCCCAGAACATAAACATGAGGTATACACCACACAGAACTCAGTTATATTTTTTTGGACAGTCTTCTTTGTCAATAGCCTGCCCAACGACAATTCTAAAACTTCAGTTAATTATGCTTCATAATCAAGATAAATTAGCTTCAGACGATTGAGCGAAAAGCCCAAGATCTGCTTCATTCAGCCAGGAACTTTGATTACATCAAGGACACTTGGACTTAACCTCCTTTCCACTAACAAATTCTATCCAAGCTTTATATCCTTTTCATGAGTAAGAAAGAAATGTAACCATTAAAATGTTACTCATGGTTGAGCTATGTACATGTGATGCATACGATCAATCTACCCCACCCAAGTACAAATAGTTCCAAAATCTTCACAAAAATGTGCATGGTTGCATGTTTGAAATATATACTCTACAGAACTTTTACAAAACTTAGCAGAAAGCAAGTGAAGTAGCATAATTCAACTAAAAAAGGCAACAGATTTCAGTAGAGTGAAGCAGTGGAAGATAGGAAAATCACTATAATCTTGCCAAACTGTGTAATAATACCAGACAATGACCCTTGCATGCTGGAATTTTGAGTGGGAGACTGTTAGGCGAAAGGTAGAGTTTTGATGAAGCTGTAGACCAGGAAAATCTATCAAAATGTAGCACCTGTGAAGATAAATCAAAGGCATTACAACCCCTGACACAAATTATTTTACAGAAATATGTACAGTAACAAAAGCGAGAACTTCTCTTTGAACAAGTCACCAATCTACACCACAAGATGGCCTATTTACACCCCAGCAGATGATAGATTTTCATTGCAACTTTCCTATGTATTCATATCAACGTGAAAATCAAATTTTTAGTACTCTACCATTGCCTGGCTTAAGTGCTCTATGCATTTGGTTTACATTAATATTCATCAATAACAATTATATTTTCATGAGGTACGACCAGTTATACTAAAACTGAAAGAACCGAGAAAGAAATAGGAGTATACCTGCACGTCATCCAATAATTTATTTCCTGATTCACCACCAACTACCACCATCTTGTTCCCAACCACAGCCGCTGCATGCTGCATAAAGAAGATAATATTTTCAGCTTCATTGCAAAGGAACATGATGATTTGTTTGAATAAAACAAAATGTGCACTGAATAGTGATCAAAGCGCAGAATCTTTTACGCTGGAGCGAGGTGCCGGCTTGTCTCCAGTAACTGAAAGCACCATCCAATTCTCTGAGCTTCCTGATGTACAGCTGTTAAATTCTGGTGCACCAGATGGAGTTTGACAATTTGACTCATGAGAAGCATTAAGTGCAGGTGCAAGCCCTTGGCCCTGACAGAATTAAGAGCTTAGTGCAACTTCATGCATACTTGCCTTATCTTCTCAAGTATACACCGCATATGAAAATTCTTACGCTGTAACTGCTGACACGTTTCGGGTGTCTGATGGGACTTCTAGTTCCCTGAGCTGAGTCTGAAAGTTGAACTTTCAATCTGCAGAAGGGAGTTCATTGTATGAGAATGAATGGACAGAAAAATTAATTCTCCACTAAGCATGTAATTGCCCAAACTGATTAGTTGTTGATGATGCTTATGGTACTCCTCAAACAGAGAAATTACAGACTTCGAAAAACAGAGTGCAACCAACTGCAGGGTCGAAATAAATTCTCCTGTTGCAATTATAGTGAAAAACACAAAAAAGATTTACTGTATATTACTGAAGGCAACTATTAAATCCCTCATGTCTAACTGACCAAGGAGCTAATCAAATGTACCAAACAGAATGCTCCAGCCTCCTGATTTGCTCTACATAGACTATGTAACCTTTGTTTACCTCCAAGCTGGCAACCCATTTTTTCTTATTAAAAAAAAGCCATTATATTTTATCAGTCTACTACATATTTTCTCTTCTCCTTCTAATAGTGTTAAAGTTAGTGCTATTCATCATGTGTTGTGCGCAATACCAAACAAGAAAAGAAAAGAGGAAATACAAGAAGAGCCTTGTTATAGCAGCAATAATTTGCATTGCACCAAATCCATCACAACATTTAATCACCAGCTGAACTGGCAATGTATCAACAACAAAATTCTTAAGAAACCAGTCAAATGTAAACATCAACCACTTAGAAGGCTCTAAATAATCACATGAAAATTAAGTTTCAGTCAAATTTCAGGCATTTAAAGAATTAAAACTATGGTCCCGAAGTAGCAAATTCAATACAAACCCTACATTGTCCTACTTTAAGAATCTGGCTTTCTTCACTAGCTAATGCCTATTTGAAATGTTAATCTTGATAACTCAAGTACCTTCTTTAATTCGAATAATCACAAATGTAGCAGTCTTGACAACTTAGTAAATTAAAACAAGGCACTTTTGCAATTAGATAACAGCACAAAGCCCACCATTCCCGTACTTCAACAGCCAACCGACTTCACACCTAGAACTAATTCTTCCACTACAACTAAAGAATTCCTAAAATACATTATCCTCCAACAACTAATTTAAAATGGACATACATAATTTTTTTTTACCAACTGCAATCATAAAAGCATATCCGTCCATGTGCTATACCATTAACATCACATAAATACCATCTTCTTTTAAATACATACGCAAATGTACCATATATTTTCGTAAAGACCAATACAAGTTAGTTTATCTGAAAGTCAATGTGGACTAGTTGTTCCTCAGCTTAAAGTAAAATTTAGAAATGTCCGATCTTCACAATCTTCTTTCCTACGTAGAAGGAGAAAAACAGAAGCAGAAACACGCTACTGTACCTTCCAAGCTTCATTCTTCTCCTTGAAAATCCAAACATTTTGCTATCACCTTAAATTTCTCCACGAATACAAACTTCAAATTTACCTAACCAAAAAAAAAAAAAAATGAAAACATTAAAACTCCACAAGAATCATCAAACCATCTCCATTTCCATAAAAGAGCAAACCCACTAGTGAATACACAAGTGCTTTAAAAAAAGCATTTAAGCATTACCTGTTAGCTGAAAGAACAATAAAGTTAGGGTTTTTAGTAAAAGGCAGATTGAAGGGAAAGAAGAAAACTATCCACATTGCCCGAAACTACACGCAATCAATCAATGCTGCTGCTGCCTCTTGATGCATTTCAAGATTAGCTTTTTGGAAGTTTCTATGGATATATACTTACACTGAGGTAAATGGGGTCAATGTATAGAAGAGCATAGTAGTCCTAAATACACATGGAGATAGAGAGAAATTATGAAAGTGTTAATGAAGTTTTTTGACAGTGACAACTGTGTGACTGTGTGCCGTGGGAATGGGGACGGTGCAGAAAGTTACTGTGTATGAAGTTTATAGATGCGCTAAGCATAGGACTTCAAACAGGAAGTGCGCACGTTAGCATTCTGTCCTTTTCGGATCGTAAGCTTTTGTCTACACCTAAAACTAGGGCAAAAAACCTCAGCGGCCATTAAACTATTGGCGGGATCATGTTTTAGCCATCAAACTATTTTTTGTTAATAATTGACCACTAAACAATTTAATCAATAAATTCATCACCATTTGATCGATAATTGCTTTTAATCTATGAAATTAGCTATACACGTGGCAAAATAGAAGGACAATTTTGTCCAACAACTATGCGACCTTCTTCTCCCTAAATTTCTTTCCTCAAACAAGCTCTTGCCTTCATACATGAAATTGGTTGGCTCCTCCATAGAAGTAAGTTGAAGTTTAGATTGGGTCTTCAAGATCCCAACTTGGATACATTTCCATTCCAGCGTTTCAAATGGCTTATAGAGTTCTCAGTCGAACATGACTGGTGTGTAGCGGTCAAGATGCTTTTGAATGTTCTGATCAACAAACTCATGGGTGAAGAAAAACGCTCTTCAATTGAAGATGCACTGCTAGAAAATGGGTTGCTCCATAGAGCTGTTCGACGAAATTGTAGGTCTATGGTTGAAGTCCTACTAAGATACTAGAATGCGGGAGGGGAACTAGAAGGAGAGAGTCAGCCCGGATTGGGGGCGCGCTAAGCTTACCCACAAGAAATGAGTGGTCATGGTCATAGGTCGGGGAAGGCTGGTATTCTTTCTTCTGTCTAGTTCCCAGACTGGAGAATTGTTTTGGATGCTTTTCGCGTGGCCGGATCACCTGAATGAGGGGCTACTCTTTCTGCCTCTCGCATCGGGTCACAGTCCCGCTTATAGCCTTGTCCCTGCCCTAGGTAAGTTCAATCTGCTATGTATTTAGATCGATGTCAAAGGCCCGGGGGGCTTGACTCCTCTGCACATAGCAGTCGGATGCGACGGAGCTGAGCAAGTGCTGGATGCATTAACTGATAATCTTGGACTGGTACGACTCTTCTTAATATGCATACTGTTATTAGCCGAACATTACTTTTGGAAATGGAAAAATAGTGCTCAGATCCCTCAGTGGAAAAATACGGCCTTCCTAATATCTTTGATTTGTGGTTGAAGATTTGGGGCTCCCAATTGAGTCCATATTTTTTCCTCCACATAATGTTCCATTCGGTGATTGTTTGAGAAAAGAAATTCAGGGGAGAAGAAGATCGCATAGTTGATGGACAAAATTGCCCTCAGACATTGTCACGTGTAATGCTAATTTCAGAACTTAAGAGCAATTAACGACGAAATGGTCACGGATTTACGGATTAAATTGTTTAGTGGCCAATTATTGACAAAAAATAGTTCGATGGTCAAAACATGATCCCGCCAATAGTTTAATGGCCGCTGAGGTTTTTTGCCCCCTAAAACTACTAAGTCTATGCTCAATAGTAACCAATTGATTGGGACACAAAGAATTACCAACTAACAAAAATAGTTTCGATTGGAGTTTTTCTTTAGTTTTTTGTCATTTCTTTATTAAATCTAACAGCTTTTTTAAATTTATATGTTAGATTTGAAATTTTTACATAATTTCAATAGATTTCAACGTCAATTTTAATTTTGAATTAATTGGATAACAGGTCCAGTATTATTTTTGTTAATACACGCAAATCTTTATCGACCTGCTTGTGATTTATTTGAATTCAGAATCTATTAAAATTTTATTATTCTCTACATCTATTAATTTTTCAGATTATTATATTGATGATATGTTTGATGTATTCTCTATTATTAGTGCATTGCAGATTTTATAAAATAAAAATATATCCTTTATAAAAAAAAAATTTGAACTCAATTATGTTTGTTAGATATATGATTAGGTTCGCGTCTCGTCTTCTCCTGTGAGTTTTCTGAATTTATTATTGTGATTTAACCCGATTTGGATATTTCATGGATTCACGCGTCACATAAAGATGCTAAAATGCGCCGACGAAGTTATGACCGTTTGTGAATGATCTGGGTCTGGTTGGCGGACTCGAGGTAGCAGAAAGGGTGCATTTATTGTCTGCTACATTCAGATGGGCCCTGTTGGGCCCACTGTCTCTTGGGAATTGTGATTTGGTCTTTTGGGCGGATTCGAATCTCCCTTGTGTTACTTAGTCTACTCTTTTTAGTCTTTTACCAGAAACCACACGTATTTCTGGTAAAACATAATTGGGCTGCTCTTGTCCAGCTGATTGGTTTGGGTTGGGTTACTTGCAATATGTCTTGCATTTTGGGCTTCCACCTTTGTAATCAGCGAAGCGGGTTTGCTTTTGCACTTGCGGAGGAGGACCCAGTATTTGCTTGGACTTAAGGGTGAGAATTGGAACCTCGCCAAACTTTTTTCCTTCAAAATGAGTAAATTACCGAAAAAATTTGGATTAATCCTGTATACACTGTCAATGTATATACTATCATCATTAGATATGTGACATGTGTCAAGTTTGAATTTGAAATTCAAATTTTGTTCATATGTCATTCACCCAAATATGATAATGTGTATACTGACATTGCATATAAGATTTACTCAAAATATTTTGGACAAGTAGAACATCATATTAACATTATTTCAGAGACTCAAGAATGGAGCAAAAATTAGGGAGATTTAATGATCTTTCAATCCATCGTCTGTGGTAGGGTTGTAATCGAACCGAGCTGCTCACAAACAACTCAATCAAAAACTTGACTCAGACTCGGGTTGACTGAGTTCGAGTGCCTCGATAAGTTGAGAAAGTCAAGTTCGAGTATTCAGAAGTAGTGCTCGAAAGCTCGTCGAGCCTTATCGAGTTTTTTAATTTTAATTCTTTAATATATTATTATTATAAAATTACCCTTATACCTAAAAGAGTGATTGAATTTACAAAATATTTCAGGTCATATGAAAATTTAAAAAAGGCAATAATGTCTTTTTGCTCAAAAATTGTCAAGAAAATGAAATTTTCTAACTTGAACTCGATCAAGTTCGATAAGGCTCGCATTGACTCGAGCTCATGCGAGTCGAACTCCAGTTTTGTGGGCAATGCATCGAGTTTGAGCTCGAGTTCCAATAATACTACTCGCTCGAGCTCGAGTATCTTTCTTATATATCGAGTGGAGCTTGAATATGGCGATATTCGAGTTCGACTCAACTCGATTACATCCCTAGTCTGTGGCATCTACATGTTCTACGATTTCAACCAACCCACTTATTGAGTATAAAATTACTGTTTTATTTTCCACATTATCATTTCTTTGACCGATATACAAAATTTTCTGCCCATTTTAACTTTTTGGTCTCATTTAAGATGAAATGGGAATCTATTCGTGATTTTTTAATTTAAATATTGAATAATGCGATAGAAATCTAATATTTGTTGAGGGCCAATTAATCAAATTGAATCAACCATTAACAAATAACTCCAATGTCAATTAATGTGGGTAGATTTGATTAGGGAGATGCAGAAATAGTACCTTTTTTGCTCCGCCTAGCTTTATGCCCCTCTAAGGTTATTTTAGTAATAGGTTTTATAGAAAGTGGACAATACTATTTGGTTGTAATCCCATTTTTAATAATCATACTCCTACTGTCATTTTAATTATTGGATTTTTTTAACGAGTGCCCTTAGAGTATTCATTAACACACCTAATATTCATCTAATCTGCTATATATATATATACATATATTAACAATTACTATCCTCTCTTATATTTCTATACTTTCCCTATTTAATCTTGTCTACTCTCGCTTGTATTTATTTACTTTACCTAATTAAACTTATATTTTCAAAAATATAACATTTGAATTATATCTTGACGAGTGCCTTATGGACATCAGTTAAACAAACAATTAATTTTATAATTTTTATTTATTATAATATATGATAAAACAAATAGTAGGAGTGGAAATAACAAAAAATGAAGTGTAAATAACATTGTTCTTTATTTTTTATATTTTTTAAATTTATGGAAAATCGAGTTTAACCTTCAATGAAATCAGCCATTGACAATGACATAACAAAGTGTGGTGGATCCCTCTACCAATGGCATCTTTATTTTCATTTCTTATGCAAAGTTATAGAAGATTTGCAACCAAGCCACTTTGAAACACCTCTATGGAATTAAATTGCAAGTTAATCCAAAACATTATTTCAAGTGCTATGTGTAGTTCACACTTTAGGGATTGAAGTTGGTACTGTTAATCAAGGTAAGTAATCGGGCAGTGGCACTTTTTGGCCACAGAGGGAATTAATTAAAGGACTCTCTAGACTCATTATCGCCTTCCATTCAATCAAATACTGCCATTAGTTACTCAATACTTACTGGTTGACTGATACACATAATTAAGTCTTTTGTACTCTAAACAAGTCTTTTGTGATAAAGGCAATCTTTATCTACTGCTTTCGTTTTTTTGTTCATTTTCTTTTCTTCGTGTCAAATTGCGAAACCATTCTTTCCATGACTACCTATGGATTCTGATTACGAATCTAACAATATTTGGATGACTTAGAAGGAGAGATAAAGTATGATATATGCCATTGACCAGCTCCCTTGCACCAATCTCCTGGCTTCTTTCCAACCTGAGTGTGTGACGGACTCTTATTCCAACTGGCATGGAGATGCTTGATGACAACTAAGTACGCAATTGCTTGAATACTACTGATGTCCTGATGTTTATCTTCTTAAGCATAAGCGACAGTGCCAGGAGCAAGCACAAAAATGGGGAATAATACAACCTTGTTACTGGTTCCCAAATGAAGCATATTGCAAGATTCTCATTTGTACGTACTCGTCAGAACCAACTAGTATATAATAACAAGACGTCATCCCAATTTCCTGGCTAATCTTATCTTAAGATGAACCCATTTAACACGTGCCAAGGCTATGCAACCATTAATACAGTGAGCATCCACTAGATAAAAATCAGTGGGCAGAATCTTGTTTTTAATTTTA